GAATCATGGTTTGACCATTTCTGGGTTGTAGGCGGCATTGAAAGAACTGAAAAAAAGAAATGTTTTTTTGTAGTTGTTGATAATAGAGATACAGAAATATTAACTAGAATTATCAAACAACATGTAAAAATCAATTCTACAATTTATACAGATTCATGGCTTGGTTATCAAAATCTTGAGCAATACGGATACAAACATAAACGTGTAGTTCATACAAAAGAAAATCAAAGATTAAGATTAATGAAAATTCATACAAATCATATCGAATGAACTTGGAGAACTCTTAAAGCATTTATTCCAAAAAATAAAAGAAGAAAACACTTAATTAATCCATATTTAAAAAATTATATCGCAAGAAAATTATACAAAGAAGAAGAATGGGCAAACTTTATTGAACTTTTAAAAAAATAATTAGCAAAATTTTACAATTATATGTATAAATTTTTTTAAAATTTGATATAAAAACAAGTTGTATTCGAGAAAATATTTTAAATCAAAAATGACTCAAAAATCAAACTGGCAAGATAAATTTGAAAATTTTGAACCTTCTATTACTTGGGATAAACAAAAACATCCAAATAAAAAACTTAACAAATACCGATTAATTAAAATCAATAATAATTTATATTATGAAATACAAACTCAAAAACCTGAAATTACATTTCTTTGTGATATTAAACATTTCAATTTAATCCAAAATTATACATAATATTATGATAAATATCAAAAAGATAATACTTACTATATAAAAACAAATATTAAAAAAAATAATCAATGGACAACAATCCACCTTCATCGAATGATTCATCCAAAATGGAAAATGATTGATCATATTAATAGAAGTGGATTAGATAATCATGAATGTAATTTAAATAAAACAACACCAAGAGAAAATGCATTAAATCGTAAATTATTTAAGACAAATACAATAGAATTAGTTTTATTAGATATAACAATACTTGGAGATTTCGTTGGCATGAAAATAACAAATGCAAATTAAAAGATTTTTATATTACAAAAAAAAGAATGTCAGAACAAGCAAAACAACAAAGTATAAAATTTAAATTAAAACATGATAAAATTGTGAGAAATTTAAATGGATATAATATAGAATATGTTTGATTTTTAAATAAAATTTTCAAAAGCTATAGTTTCAATATGAAAATTTCATATTTACTTAGCATGTTCAGCCAGTATCAAGGCACTTTCGAAATGAAACATGTTGAACTAATCATCGATTGTTTAAACAATACTCATAACTAGCTCTTGTGACCTTTCAAAGGGAGGTAATAACTACAGACCCTAAGCCATAAAACAAGTTATTCCTTATTGTCGCATTAAAAAAATAAATTGTTGACTCTTTTAAACAGACTTAGCTATATGATTAAAAATTTTTGGTATATTATGTGCCTCGCCAGCTTTTCTGTCAGAGGCCTATTATGAACATCACTAGCTTTTCTGCCAAAAAATTTTAAAGTCAAATGTACTTTCATTGAATGCTCAAAAGAGTGAAAAATAAAAAATTTCTGATGATCACAGGTTTATAAAAAATTTTCATATGTATCCAATATGTTGATCATAGCTATTCTATTTTAAATCCTGTATAAAATAAAAATTAAAACGTAATTTTTTTCAATTTTTATTTTATTTATTTTTTTTTTAACCCTTTAGCTTGATGGCTATTAGGGCGCGTTTGGCACTCATTTATTAATATCAATGTTTTTGTGACATGTCGATCTACATTTCACTATCTATTTTTAACTATTTATACTAATCTATACCTCCCTCCAATTGTCTGTTTTTCCCGGCTTCCTCTAGCAAGCCAACCACACCTGGTGCCCCGTACCTCATAGGATCATAGGCAGCTTGAAGGAACTACATACTCTGCCGGGTCGCTATATAGGTCAGCCATTTGTTATCAACCCTGGGAGCCACTTCCATTTTTAGTCGGTGTAGCGTTAGGTTCCTGGCTTCTTGCCTTCCTAATTTGGTCAGTATCCTTGACTCTATACTTGTTTGTCTTGTTCTTTTTATAGTGGATGGTCCTTATGTTTACGCATGTTCTTTTTATAGTGGATGGTCCTTATGTTTACGACGTTTCTTGTACGGTTTTTGTCATACACTAGACTCGAACCAGTGACCTTGCAAATACGACTCCGGAGCGCTAACTACTGCGCTATCCGACCCAGGGTCCAATTTTTATTTTCAATAGCAAGGTATATATTAAAATTTTATATTATGAATTTTATTAAATTTATTAAATAAATTTTTTATTATTAGATGAATTTCAAACAAATTATTATTATTTTTGTTTTTATATTTTTAACTACTACCGCTATTATTGAAGCAAAAAGAAAAAAACCAAGATGTTCAATTTGCAAAAAGAAAGGAATAAATAAAATTAGGTTCAATAAACAAACACATATTAGTCAAGGAAAACATAGAAGAAAAAATAAAATAATTTAATTTTATTTGTATTATTTTATTTACCGAATAAATAAAATTTAAAAAGAATTTTTTGATATTTTCAAAAGATTGCATTAATCTTTTCTAAGCAACATACTATAAAAAAATAATTTAGTTTCGTACTAAATTAATTTTTGTATTTATTAAATGGCATCTAAATTTGGAGATTCTAAATTTCTTTGTTTAAAATGTAGCTAAATTTAACTTTCGGAATTACCAAAATTTTTATAATTTTACCAAACTATAAAAGAAAATGCCCTCTTTTATTATTAAAAATATCAAAAAACTCTTTTTTAAATCTATTAAAGCATCAACAAAAATATATATGTGTAAACTTGCGCAAGTTTTTACAGTATATAAGAAAATCGTAAACTTACGTAAAATTTAGCGTAATACTACGTAAGTCTTACGATGTGTAAGAAAATAGTAAATTTACGTAAAAATTTTATGTAAATTTACGATTTCTTATGCACTGTAAAACTTGCATAGTTTTACACTAAACCTTTTATTTAAGTTTACGATTTTCTTATATATTGTAAAAACTTGCGAAAGTTTACACTAAATTTTTTACAATTTTTTTATGAACTGTAAGAAATCATAAATTTACACTAAATTTCTTACATAAATATTCGAACTCTTTCGAAATATTTTAGGACCAGAAAACAGTACTACAAGATCAGATTAGATCTTTTGTTATAATTAGATTTTCTATTTTGTTTTTTTTCACTTTTTTGTTTTTCATTTTGTTTTCGTTGGTTTTTTTTTGTTTTCGTTTGTTTTTTTATTTTTTTTATTTATTTTTTTTTAATTTTTTTAATTTATTTTTATTTTGGCACTTTACAAGAAAAACAACCAACCTTTCGAAACCTTGCGCATGCCAACTATGACTTTTAACACTTTTAAGAACGCACCCCCAGCAATTTCTAAATTTTAAAAAACATTTTTTTAGAGAAATGGCGCAAGTTTTCGCAAGCGTTTGCAAATTTTTGCAAGTTTTTGCAAGTTCTTGCAAGTTCTTGCAAGGTTTCGCTTTATTTATTTTTTCGTTTTATGGTTTTTGCTTTTGTTTTTTTGGTTTATTTAAAATTTTTTTATTAATTTATTTTATTTCGGCACTTTGCGAGAAAAACAAACAACTTTCGAAACATTGCGCATACCAACTACGACTTTCGACACTTTCAAGAACACATACCAGCAATTTCTAAATCTTCAAGAACACTTCTTTAGAGAAATAGTTGCAAGTTTTTGCAAGTTTTTGCAAGTTCTTGCAAGGTTTCGTTTCATTTATTTTTTCATTTCGTGCTTTTTGTTTTTGTTTTTTTGGTTTATTTTTAAATTTTTTTATTAATTTATTTTATTTCGACATTTTGCAAGAAAAACAACAACTTTTTGAAACCTTGTGCATGCCAACTATGACTTTCGACACTTTTAAGAACACACCCTAGCAATTTCTAAATCTTCAAGAACGCTTCTTTAGAGAAATAGTAGCAAGTTTTCACAAGTTTTTGCCAAGTTTTTGCAAGTTCTTACAAGGTTTCGTTTCATTTATTTTTTCATTTCATGCTTTTTGTTTTTGTTTTTTTGGTTTATTTTTAAAATTTTTTTATTAATTTATTTTATTTCGACACTTTGTGAAAAAAACAACAACTTTTTGAAACCTTGCACATGCCAACTACAACTTCTAACACTTTCAAGAACACACTCCCAGCAATTTTTAAATTTTCAAGAACGCTTCTTTAGAGAAATGTGTGCAAGTTTTCGCAAGTTTTTTGCTAGTTTTTGCAAGTCCTTGCAAGGTTTCACTTTATTTTTTTTTGTTTCGTGTTTTTTGTTTTTATTTTTTTTGGTTTATTTTTAAATTTTTTTTATTAATTTATTTTATTTCGGCACTTTGCGAGAAAAACAACAACTTTTAGAAACCTTGCACATGCCAACTACGACTTCTGACACTTTCAAAAACGATAGAAAACAAAAAAGCAAAGATAATAGCTAACTGTGAGGTGAGCGAAAATAAGTGTATAGGGCTAGTTTTTTGTATATAGTAATAGAATTAGATGCGATGAAGTGCGAAAGTAGTTTAAAATATTTGTAATAATGTAAAAATAATACGTAATATATAATAAAGTATGTAATATTAATTAAAAATATATATTTAATAAATGTAAAATATAATATATAATAATAATATATAAAAAAATAAAAATTTTATAATAAATTGCGAAACCGTGCAAAATATTGCGAAATTCTGTAAAAAAGCATGATTATATGAATATATATCATTTATTTATTTTTTAAAAAATTTTGAAAATTTGTGAAAATTTGCAAAATGTTGCAAAACAATGCGAAAACATTACAAAATATACGAAAATATTACTTCTGCAATCTTGCAACCCCCCAAAAGGGCATTTTTTTATTTCGCAATGTATCATAAGATTTTCGAAATATTACAGCAATATCTTACGTAAGATTACGTATATATCTGCTATAGCGTAACTTACGTAATTATTACCCCTATGTAATACTCTGAACTAATTGTAAGATTTTTGCAAATTTACGCTCGCGTAAAAACTTGCGGAGGTTTATGCATATTTTTTTTTGCTGATGAAGATATTAAATTTGAAAAAAATATTTACAAAATGGTATCCTCAAATACATCTGGATTCAAATATCTTAAATTTTTCAATCCCGAATTTCATAAAAAATTGCAAGTCTGTTAAAAGAAGGCCCAACATTAAAAGATGTTATTACTTTGGTTCTTCAAAATCCAGATCAAGAACCAGAAATTTTAACTATACATAAAGTTAAAGCTATAAGAAATGATACCCTTCAAGTATTTGATTTCGAAAATGAAGGTGATATTAATGAAGGTTGAATAGTTACAGATGAAGGATCTGAGTGGTTTAATGTCAAAGAGTTAATGTTTTTTATAGGTAGAAATTTTAAATATTATCGTTCAATATAATTTAATAAATGTTTATAATTAATATTATTCAGATAAAAATTGTAAATATTTTTAATCAAATAAAACTTTATTCAATTCATTTCTTTTATTCAATTAATTACAATTTCAATTGATCGATTTGGTACTAATTCAATATCAATTTGAACGAATGCCAAATAAAACAATTTAACAAATACAATATAACTGAAATTATCTTAAATATTAAAATAAAACAATTAATGTAATTGAAATTATCTTGAAAGAAGAAAGGTAAAGTTAATATTATCAATAACAAGCCTATTGACATTAGCTAAAAATTAAAAATAAAAAAATGAATAGAAGTAAATTCAAGCGCTCTCACTTGAGTAACCAAAAGAAATTTTCAAAATAAAATAAAAATAAAAAATTTAAAATTGATCTTGGTGAAAGATCAATTCTCTGCAGAAGTGAATTTAGCGTGCAAACAAATATCTTGTTTGCATGCAAAGGATATTTATCTAATTTTTATATTTAACTGATTCAATAAATTCTAAAAATTGTTTTTGAACTATTCTAAATGATTATTAAAAAGGTCTTTTTTAATTTCAACTTCAACTTGTTCAGAAAGAAGTTGAATATTAATTCAATGAACATTTTGTGTCCACCAAATATAAAAACCAAACAAAATTAAAATAATAAAAAAAATAATTTTATAAAATAAACTATCACTTCGCAAAGAAGCTAAAAATTAAATAAAAATTAATATTTAAATAATATTTAAATTATAAAAAATTTAAATTTTACTTACTGATAGTTTCTTTTAACTCTTTAATATTATTACTTAAAGTTTGATTTAAATTTTTCAAACTTGTAATTTGATTATTTGAAGTTTGTACTGAATTTTCCAAACTTCTAATTTGATTGTTTGAAGTTTGAATTGAACCTTCCAAACTTCTAATTCTTTCTTCATTTAATAAAAGTTTGATAGAGAAATTCAACACCATTTTGATGAACTACTTCTTGTTGAACTTCTTGTTGTTGAAATTCTTCACAGGTAGTTTGAGTATTTTTAGCAGACATTTTTAGTTTAATTGTATTTAATTAAATCAAAATTGATTGATTGAATTAAAGGAATTTGATGGTTAATAAATACCTTGGTGAAGTAATGCCTCTTGATATGTGGAAGGATTATCAAAAGGAATATCACTACTTCTCGCAGTAACAAAAGAAATACTTTCTAATTGTGAATCAGGAAGATGCTCAAACTCCTCCTGCTGATTGGCTGGAATTCTACCAGATGATGTTCTAAATAATGTACCTGAATGAGTATAAGACATGGTTAATTCAATAAGAAGGATTATGTAAATCAATGTGAAAAACATGTATTAAAAATGAAAAATTCATGAGGTTAGCAGAATTTTTCTGAGGATCTTATACTAAGAAAATTTGTTATCAGTATGATTAATAGTTAAGCCACATATACACGTGTAGTATTGTTTTGTAAATATTTATTTGGAATTACTGATTGTACATCATAAGGTTTTTCCATTTATAGTTTATCCAGAACATTTATTTAAATACTTGGAATTTTATTGGTTTTAAAAAATCATATCATAATAAAAAAAATTACAACTGCTTGCGAATACTGCAGGTTTAAAAAACTTAAATGTGATAATGTTATCCATGTATACAATGCATAAAAAAAACAAAGAATGTAAAAGAACTAAGCCATCAAAAAAATGTGAACCAAAACCAAACTCAAAATCAAAAAAAAATATCTATCTATTACTTCTATTTTA